CCCTTGTTCCTGAAATTCTACCTCTCAAAACGCTTTTGCCTTACCTGTTACAATTAAGCTATTTTTTTCTTAGGAAAGTGGCCTGGCTCAATTCAGGCTTGTGCCTCAGAGTAAACTGAAATGATTAATAGGTCTGTGTGTGCCTAATGATGTGAGCCCTGCAGCCACTAAAGCACCTGTCTCAGTGTGTAACCAGCCTGAGTTCCCTATGGTGCGTGGCTGCAGATTCACATAACAAAAAAGGCAATTAGACAATGTTAAGGATTTGAATTTAACTAACAATGCAGGGAAATTGCCAGGGAAGGATTTGTTATCTCTTGCCTGATAAAAACAGGTATCTCTGGAAAACTTTTTAATTGTCCTTCCGTAGCAGTTCCATATGGAAAGTCTTATGTCTAATGAAGACTGTCAGGGTTAAGCTCTGAAAACAAAGATCTGGAAAGCTGAAAGTGTTCTTAAATTAGCATTTCTGCTACCTTCTTAGATCAGTCCTAAATCTGCCAGTTGCTGCTAGTTTTGGCCATGCCTCTAATGGCAATCTGTTGTGTCCAAGCATAAAATTCTCCACAATTCCAGCATCATTTTGTGGTCTGCAAATGACTCCAAAAGGATGATCTGCAGCATCTGGACTTTGAAAGAGCTGCACTAATAGTATTGCCTTATTGTGAGTCTTAGAAGGTATATAAGTTCTTTCTTGTGTCTGTCCTGTAAGACACTGTGCATACCTCTGACTTGTGCTGGTCCTTCTGGCCGGACAGCTGCTCTCTGTGTGTGGTGATTGGTTTTGAAATTTGCTCCATCAGCTGCTGCACAGTGCAGCTTTCTGTGTTGGCTGGTTATTTTGATCAGTTGTGAGAGCAATGGGCTGGCTGGCTGATTGCTGAGGTGTTCCTCCTGGCTGGGTGACAGGCGTGCTGGCTGACCCCAGCCAACTGGCTTTAACTCCAGTGGGGGATAGCTGCTAATATTTTCCAAGGCATCTAGGTGATTTAGGAGCCCATGGCTCACCCTGAAAGCAGCTGATGCATTTGGAAAATGTTACTGTATTAAACTCACCCCAAAGGGATATAGTGGGGGCTAATTTATGTTTGCAAGAGAGCTTGGGGTCTTGGATTCCTGTGATGTGAATATCTTGCACTCTCCTCTTTGTACAGAGGCAAACAAGATCCATTCCTGTGGTTGTTTCACCAGACAGTCAGGCTGTGCTAAAACTACATCTGCTGATAAGAAAGTAACTTCTAGATAAATCATATAGGCAGGTCTCTGAAGCCTAGAAATAAGAACTTCTGGCTCCAATAACAAAAGCCTAAGGAAGGCTGCCTACTGCTCTGGTAGCCATCAATCCATCGCCCTTCCTGTGGCACTGCCAGCTGTGACTGTGTGACCAAGGCTGTCAGAGCTGGTGGGTTTGGTGGGGATGGCAGTGGGCTGCCAAAGCAGCCAAAGCCAAGCTGCTCTGCTGGCTGCAGGGGAGGTGTTCTAGTCCCAGCAGGCACCTAGGGGACAATGTGGTGGTCCTTTTCTGAGTCTTGGTGGCTCTGCTCTTGGTTGATACCCTTCATGGCTGAAGAGAGGTAGAGACATCTGAAAGAGGGTTTAGAGAGGCACTTCATGGCCCAAGATTGGAGAACAAAGGGTTATAACAACAGGGAGATGTGTAGGAGACCTGGTTACCAAGGAAATGTGTGTTCTACCTGTTTATTCTTCATATTGCTCACATATTCCTTAAATACCTTTATATTCTCCTGCTGCAGAATAGGTATAGTGGCCTGACCCGATCAGCATGTGTCTGTGATGCTCCTTGTGGCAGCCAACTGCCCTTGTGTCCTCAGAGAAAATAATTAATTAAATTTACATGCCTCTTACTGAATTTTCTGCATGGGTCTTTTAAAGTCTTGGGCTGGTCATTGGGATTTTTGTGGTTTGTGTGTAGTAATACTGCATGAGTTCTTTAACAAACCATTCTGAGGGCAAAAGTGTCTGTATGAGAGGGTAAGAGAGGGGCTGGGTGGCTTCTCTGTGAGTGCCTGAAGTGAATGAGATGTCAGGGAGAAAATAAAAGATTAAGAAATAGTTAAAGGACAAAGAGAACTGTCAATAAGAAAGAAAAGAAAATACTGAGGAATATTGCTGATGGGTTTTAAATTTAAACTTGGGCAGGCAATTTCTTTTACACACTTGAGGAGAAGAAGTTGGAGGGAGACTTGGTTGCTGTTATGCTTTCAAATTATAATCTAAGTGCTGCCTTGATTATACATCATTCTGATTGCTGTGGTCTAATGATTAGAGCATAAAACTTGGAGAAAAAAAATACTCTATTTTTCTTGACTGTAAAAGACTTGCTGGGTGGTTTTGAATGAGTTATTTCACTTCACTGTTCCTCATTTTCCTGATCTGCAAAAGGATATTAACGCCTATTTTTGTGAAGGCAGTCTGAGAAACGAAATGGAAAATTCTGTATAAATGTCAAGTGTCATTATTATTGTTCTTAAACTAATCCATTGTAGTCAGCTGCTTTTATAGTTTTTATGAAAGCAAATACAATGGAAGCTACATAATTGGCTGCATAAAAACGTTGTTTTATTTAGAAAAAGACAAAAAGTATCTGAAAAAATGCAGCAGTGGGTTGTCTTTCTTCATCAATTGCAAAAAAACAAACTTTGTTAGGAGTGGACCATACCAGGTAATAAAGTTACTCTGAAGGATATGTGACTCAATTATGAGAAGTAACAGGCTCTGATAATTTTTGTTATATGTTTGGCTCACTATTTTCCTGGCACAGTCAAAGATTTTCAGTTATTTTTGAGCAAGTAAGAATAAAAATGTATGTGTTTACTTCTTTGCCAGTATCTGGGAGGTGAAGTTTCCTCAGGCTTTAAAATCCTAATTTTCAGTTGAATAGTTTGCAATGTCTGGAATTTACATCACTAGAAGCTGTACAACAAACATTGACACTTCTTGGTGAGGCGGATATGACCCATCTTTAAATACAATACTGTTAGAACAAGGTAATGGAACTTTGTGAAAAGGTGAATCCCATTACTTTTCACATTTGCCTAAATCCTGTTTATCTGAAAGGCAATCCTACCCCTGTCAATTCACCTCGAGAGTGGACAGTCCCAGTGATTCAGCCAAGGGCCTCATGCAGAAGGCTTTATCAGTAGGGCATCTGTATGGCAGGGTGCTCTTAATCCAGGACGCTGATTATGCTAACAAAATTGAATGTTTGCCAGCTAAATTTGTTCTCCTTCTCCTGAATTTGTCCTGATATGAACAGGATTTTGCTGGTGTCACTGTGTTTATGTTGTGAAGGGGAATGTGATATGAGGTTTTTCTTTAAGACGGGGCACTTTTGATCATAGGTGGTATGTCTTTATGCATTTAAGTAATTTGGCAAAAGTCTGTTATATGGTCTTGGCCTTAACATGACCCCAGAGTGAGTAACTTGTGACCTGTCTGTCCTCATCAACATCAGTACTGCTGCCTTCCAGGACAGCCCAATTAAGATAATTTTATGGCTGCTGCAGGACAACTTAGTATCTGTAAGGCAGGCTGTGTGCAACAGTCCTGGCTGTTCATTTTCAGTCCCCAGTGCCTGCATTGCAGCCACCTCCTCCTCAAAATGCTTTCCTCCGTGGGGCACACATGCCTGTTTTCTGCAGGTTCACCTTCAGACAGCTCCTCTGTATCTCTCCTCTGTATCTGTGAGCTTGCTCCCTCTAAGCCCAAGGCTGCTCAGGTAGAGGCATTGCATCATATGCTGAGCAGAATGGGTAGTGTGATAAAACACCCCAATGCAAACGGCTCTGGAAGATGATGGACAGAGTACTGGTGTTAGAGTAATTACATGAAAAGAGTCAAATCTGTTTCCTGGTAAGTCAGGTTCATTCAGAAGAAAGGTTTTAATGACATTTCAGCAAGGTATGGGCCTTTAAATACAGATATAATTTCACAAAATAATTAAGAGCCAGTTTGAAATGGGGATTTTGTTTGGTGATTAGTTACTTTTTTCCCTTTTAATTTTTTTTTTTAAAATTGTACTTTTGAAGACATTTATGAGGATTGCTCTTTTCTTGCATGGTCAGAATCCTACCACTGTTTGTACCAGGTATAGTGAATGCATTAAGACTGTGGGAGAGGGCAAATAACTCATTTTTCTGAAACAGTGTACATGCTGGATCTTTCCTTTTCATCTTTTGATACTGATGATGAAAAATTACACAAAATTTATTAAAATAATGGGATTTTCATTTTACAGAAAAGTCTAGTGTTGGATTTGTATTCTGTCAGTGAAGAGTTAACATAAAATGTTCTTGGGAATATTGGACTGCTCATGGGGCTGTCAGTGAAGCTATGAAGAATTTTCTGTGTGTAACAGCACTGGGAAGCAAGACTATTTTTCAGGGTAAGTACAATAAAATTCAGGTAACACTCTTAATCAGAAAACATTTGTAAGAAAAATGCTGAAAAACATTCATTTAGTTACACTATTAGGTATCTTTTATTTTCTTTCTCAATAAGTATAGTGAGTGTACATACACACAAAAAAATGCCTTGCTCTACCATTATTCTGAATTGCAAGTAGCAAATGACATTTTCCTCCTTAATATGTCTTTTTCAAGGAATGGAAAGATGGATTTAATTTTTAAGACTGTGGTCTCATTGCAGTTCCATGTCAGGAAAGTCCTCTGAGAAGATGAGAAAATGCAGGCAGCCGAACAAAGGAGCCACAGAAAAGAAGCCTCATCTCCAAGAGCTCAACAGACACATACTGAAATGAGCTGACTGAACCTCAGTCCTGTGTCTTTTGGGCTCATCTTTGGGGAAATGAGGTCCGCTACAGATTTTCTGATTGCAGAACTAGAGGCTTCCTTGTGCTTTTCTACTGGTCATTTAGGGTGGAATGACAAATTCTGCTTTGCCATGACAAAGTCCAGTTGGACATCTTCCTCCCAGTTCTCCCAAAATGGATTAGAGTGAATACAGACAGAGACAATAAGTAAACTATGATGTAAAGTTTATATACAAGAATATAACATTTATCTGGAGTATTTACAAGGTTAATTAAAGCAATATTTTACAACTCTTTCAGATTAACAACTAGGTATATTACAGTTAGGCTACAGATGGTTTAATTTGCAAAACAATTAAAAAAAAACAAGGTGGATTCAGATCAACCAGCTCCAAAACTTGTACTTCTTTTTTTTTTTCTGAGAGAGGGCTCAGACTTGTGGAAAATAAGAAGTGAGAATGGTTAATACACTCTTACTGGTGCCTATGTATCACATGCAAGAGTCGTGAGGTGACCTTTCCAGCGCTGGCGCGGGTGGGAGCCGTGTCAGCTCCGCGGTGCCAGCCCTGCCGTGCCACCACAAACATGCACGCACACAGAGAAGCAGCAAGATAAATGAACCAGCATTACCAAAACCAAGAGGGAAAGACCTCAGAGCAAAGTCACATTTGCAACCATAAAAAAACCCCCAAGCTTTAAGCGAGATACTTTAATGCTTCCCAAAAATAGTCATTATTTTTTTTTTATTACATTTTAACCTATGTACAAAAACTGAGGGGTTCTTCCCCTCTCGGGCAGCTGTGCCTTGTGCCCACGGCATCTGGAGGCTCACAGGGGCCAAAGCAGGAAGGAGCTGGAGGCCCAGAGAGCTTGGGACAGGGCTGGCTGCTGGAGGACAGCCAGAGCCGAAGCCACTAACACTGCAGTTTGCGGATGCTGCGGGAGAAGCGCTTGAAAGCCCGCTGCCCCTTCTGCCACCGCTTCAGCGAGGTGATCACCAGTTCCCCAGCCTGCTTCTGCCCCATCACCAAGTAGGGGACGTTGATGTCGTTCATCTCATCGCAGGTACACTGGAGGCCACCTTTGAGCCAGAGCACTATCTTCCTCAGATCTCTTTCTGTCAGCCCATTCAGCTTGTAGATGGTTTTGCTCTTTGTTTCAGGGGTGATCTTGGTATCCCCATTGATGTAGGCAATCTCCTTCACTTTTATCTTCAAGGCTAATAGAGCGAGGGGAGGGGGAAGTGGGGAGAGGGAGAGAGATTGAGAGGTTTTTTTCCCATTAGTGCACATAAAGAGGACCTGGGGAGGGAGGTGCTCTATTGCTAATTAAACTGTCAGGGCTGACAGAAGAGGCAGCAGGTGGCTCCATTTCTAAAGCCACAAAGGGCATGCAAGTCATTTCGGTTTGAATCAACCTTAGGGTTGAGGTTTTTTGGATTTCTTTTCTCCTCTTTCCCCTCCCCCTCTTTCCCCTTCCTTTCTAAATTAATATTTTTTCCAGCTTTTCTCCTGTTTGCAGCAGAGAGAGGGCAGGTTTGCTACTCTAAGCAGAGCACTGTTTTGTTTTTTTTCGCTGGAAGACGGCAGCTTTCCTGAAAGTAGCGTTTGAAGGGGAGGCGGGGAAGCAAGTACCTAGACCTAATCTGAAACCTGATCTCTACTGCAGCTCAAAACTTCTACACTTAATTTATTAGGCTGGAGAGGATTTTAGGCAAACCTGTAAGGAAATGATATTTCACATGCATTGTTTTTTCGAAAGAATAGATCCCATGGAGGGCAAATTGGTCCAACAGCTGCATTCGATTTGGTAAAATAACTAGGAGGGGGTTACAGGGCTCTGTAAGAAGCTGTGGGGCATGTTTAGTTTTAGGAGGATTTATCTGAGTGCAATTTGCCAGGCCAAAACTATTGATTGTTTTAGCAATTATGTCCCACAATCTTAGTTTCAGGGTTTGGGTGGGTTTTTGTTTGCGTTTTTTAAAGAAAGACTTTTGAATTATTGTAGATACTTATACTACAAATCTGTTTCCAGGTATTAAACACTAACCTATTGTAAAAGGATTCCCCTCCTTATTCCCTTTTGCTCTTGAAATGCTAATGTGTGGATAATGTGTCCTTCAGTTGTCTGTGTTGAAGGGGCTTTCTTGTCCTCCTCTAACCCCAGATCTTCCCATTAAGTTTATATCCCCAATTGTCTGTGCATTACCTTCTCTGTCAAATGATATATAGAGCTTCATTCTTAATCTGCAGAGAGAGTCTTTCTTACGATACACTGAGATTGGTCATGCAGCTCTGTCTCAAACATCTAAATGAAGCTTTGCTCTACTTCTCCCCAGGCAATAGTCTGCATGAAAGATTCTCTTTTTTTTTTTTTTTTCTCATTTTACTTTCTAGTGGGTTTGCCAGCAACATCCACATAAAAGAGCACTACTTCAAAACAGTAAACAGAAAGGAATGATAAAAAGGGCTACTTTTTACTCCAAGGTGGAATTCTGTGTTTCGTGACCCGACGGTCAAAGCCCTGCCTTTATTCAGGCACATCTCTGACTGACTCCACTGGGAGCTGTACCTGATCCTCGGTTCTCAAGTTTCAAGCGAGAGGATCTCTGCTTCCACTTACCAAAGTCGTTTTTGCAGAGGTTTTCCACGATGTCATTATCATCTTCATTTTTGTTTTTGCAGGCATCACAGACCTTGGGTGCTGCAAATGCAAGCATACAGTCCCCGTCAGACCCGGGGAGAAAGGAACAGCAGGTGGCGTTGGGAACCCTTTGGGAACCGCCAGCTTTCCATCCCTTCACCCCAGCGCCCGCTCCTTCTCCCCCCGGCCCCGGAGCTGCCCGAGCACTTTGTGCCGCCTTATCCTGCGGCAGACCCGCTACAGGGGTCACGGTGGGCTTTTAAGGTCACGCCTCCACCAAAAGTTTTTGTTTTAGCGGGTAAAAAAGTACAAGGGGAGTGGGGAGGGAGGTCGGAACACGACACAGAGCCCCCCAGCTCCGCGCTACAGCGATGACTGTCGTTCAAGGCGATCGGCCTTCTGGATGCCGCGCGGCTCCAGCGCCGATCCCAGACCTTTCCTGTGAGGATGGAGACGGGCGCAGGCCGATGACAGCTCCCCGACGGTGCCTGCGGTTTCCCCGGGCCCCTTGGAAAAGCCTCCCTGAGCCTGGTCTGCGGCCACCTCCCCGCTCCCCCCGTCCCGGAGCCCCGGGGCTGAAGGCAGACGCCTTCCTTCCCCCGCCGAGAGCCGCGGAGGGGCCCCGCTGTCGGGGCGCCCCGTCGGGGTAGGTGCTGCCGCTCCGGGGGCGACCCGGCCGCTCCCTCTTACCCTCCCTGGTGACGGGCAGGATGTGGTCGCTGCTGGCCAGCGGGATGCACAGGTCGTTGTCCTTGGGGAAGCGGCTGCAGTCCAGCATGTCGGGCCAGGGGAAGCCGAAAGCGGACATCACCGGGGCGCAGCTCTCCTTCACCTCCTCGCACAGCGAGTGGCAGGGCTGGATGATCTCGTCCAGGTCGTCGATGCAGACGGGGGCAAAGAGGGAGCAGAGGAACTTCCTGGTGTCGGGGTGGCACTGCTTCTGCACCAGAGGGATCCAGGTGGACGCCTGCTCCAGCACCTCCTGCACCGTCTCATGGCCCAGCAGGTTGGGCAGCCGCATGCTCTGGTACTCGATGCCCCGGCACAGCAGCATCGGGGCGGGGATGGGCTTGCAGTTGGAGCGCTTGTAGGAGAAGTCGGGCTCCCCGAAGGGGAAGAGCCCGGCGGCCGAGCCCATGCACTGGGACGCCAGCAGGAGCAGGGCGCAGAGGCGGCGCTGCATTTTGGGGCGCGGAGGAGGCGGAGGGGGGGCTGGCGAAAGGCTCGGGGGGCCGGGGTGACGGGGCGGGCGGCGCGACGCTACCTCAGCCGCAGGCAGCGTCCCCCAGCCCGGGCTCCTGCTGCCAGGCGGGGACGGAGAGTCTGAGCGAGATGCTGGGGCAAACGGGAGTTTTCTGGATTTTTTTGTATGCAAATAGCAGGGGGAGCGGGGGCTGGGAGGAGCCTGGTGACAGCCATCCAGAAAGGATTGGTCACTACTTTCTCGGTCTGCTTTTGCTCAGGGGGATTGTCTTTTGGCAGGAAATCTTTGGAAGGAACATTACCGTGCGAGCACGGAGAAGGAGGGAAAGATCCCGGCGAACAAAGAGCCCCGGGGAGCTCCTATGCCGGGTAGGGGCCGCGGGGAGCTGGAGGTGAGCTCTGCCTCTGGCACAGCTGCTGCGGAGCCGCCGCGCTCCCCCGGCACCCCCTGTCCGCCTTTGGAGCTCTCGCTGCCCGGACGGGAGATGTGGCTGGGTCGCTTCCCAGGCCAGGGGCGAGACTGGCGGCTCCCTCATCCCCCGGGGCGTGTCTGGCACCTCCGACCCTTCCCTGCGATGCTGGCAGGGCTCGCCCCGGGCTGGAGCCGCAGGCAGCAACTGGGGGCTGCCGGCACCCCCGGCCCCAGCGCCCAGCCCTGGGGCTGCCAGGCGGGGCCCTCCTGCTGCCCCCCAGCCCCTCCTGCTGCCCCCCCCATCTCCTCCTGCTGCCCCCCAGCCCCTCCTTGCCCCCGGCTCTCCCCTGCCCGGAGCGGGGGGCCGCAGCGGACCCGGGCCCCACAGCTCCTGGATGGCCCCCGACCGCCAGTGGGGGATTTTGCCGAGTGGAAGAATCCAAGCGCTTTCGAAACACTAGCACGTTTTCCTGAGGCTAAAAGTGCCGGCCTGGCTCCGTGCAGCGCAGGCACATCCCTTTCCCTTCACTCCTGTCTTCACCTAGAAACTCCCCTAAAAAATTGTGTTTGTGTTGATTTAACACCAAGGGGAAGACAACAGGCAAGGCGCTGGGATCATAACTCAGCTTCAGTGTGCTTTGGATAATTCTTGGATTTTTAGTAATATTATTTATGGGATTATTATTGAAAAGAGTAGGCCTGTATAGTATCATTTTGTGGTAAACCACATTCATTAATCAGCTACTGAATATTTCTCCTTATAGAGATGTTTTATGGGAAGCTAGCCTCAGCCATAATGACTTCTGTAAATTGCAGGATCCCTGTACATCCAATTTCCCACTGGGCTTCCCAGAGGTGTGACTCATTGCTTGTGGCACAGGAAGGAGATGGGACCTGCAGCATTCCCACCAGGGAAGCACAGGTCTGCCATGCTGGAATGGCTGCAGTGCTGCCCCAGGCTGGATGCTGTCACATGTGAAGCCAGTGCCAGCTCTTCCAGTGGGCCAAGCTGATGAATGTAACCTCCCTGTAGGTCAGCTTCTCTCCTGAAGTTTGATACCTGGAAAATAAATATCCTGAATGTCTAGTATCACTTATGGTAAAGGTTAAAAGTAGTTTATTTCTTACAGGGCCACATATTCTTGCCATTAATTACTTTTAAACAGAGCACATATAAGGTGCTGACCTCAGGTGCCTTCCATAGGACTGAGCCCCACTGATGGCTTATGGTGCCCATTTTAAGCCTATTTCACCAAGTGCCAGAGGCTGTAGCCTTTGTCACTTGCCAGGAATGTCCCCTCCAGCTCTTAGTGCTGGTTCTGCAAGCCTCTGTCCCCAAACTCCTCTTTGGTGGAAGGAAATCTACCAACAGGTTTGTTTTTACCCTGAATGGTTGGGCTGTCCACCAGGTCTTCGTAAAATGGACATGTTTGTGGCTTGTTTTTCTCTCTCCTTTTTTTTCACTGCTTCTCATTTTTTTGGAGTCATTGATATCACCTCAGGTGGATTTCAGCATGACTGGAAGAACATTTGCCTGCTCTATAAATTCCCTGTATGCTACTTTCCACGGATAGGCTATGTGGAAGCAAAGACCCAAATCTGAGCAGACTGTTTAGACTAGAGATAATCACCCTTCTCTGTGGTGGAGGATGAGACACTTCTGACACAAACCTGCTCCTTCTTTTCACCAGAATTGTTTGCTTGTTTGCTTCACCAGCCCACACGAAATAAGCAGGAAAACCACACGTTTTCCTGGATTAAGCTTTGATTTGAAACAAGGTTTTATTGAGACCTTATTATTTCCACTTTTAATGACCCCCGGTGAGCTCATTTACCCTAAATTTGAAATGACCGGGGATCATGTAAACAAACCAACCCACGCCTGCAGACCCGAGCAGCCATTGGTATCCTCGCTGAGGCTGCTGTCAGTGCTCCTGGCTGCCGGCTCGGGCACGGCGCTCCCAGCCTGCGGACCCGTGTTCGCCGTGGCTGCGGGGCAGCAGTGCCCGTTCACCACGACCCCTTCCGAGGGTGCGGGCGCTGCTCGCCCTGCCGGCCCGGCCCCGCCTCGCACCCCCAGCACGGCGCTGCGGGCGGAGCGGGGCTGTTCGGCTGCCCCACCGCGGCTGGGGGGGGGGGGGGGGGGCGCACGTCGGGGCGGAGCGGGGGATGTGCCCGGCTCGGCCCGGGGGCGGCCCGCGGGGGTGTCCCGCGGCACACGCTCGGGCCAATTAACATTCTCGGCCTCACGCTAATTGGGAACGGAACTAAGGAAGGAGCGGTGCCGCCCCTCCGGCCCCTGGGGCCTTCAACCCCTCCCCGCCCACGGCTCGGCCCGGCCCGGCCCGGCCCGGCTCTCCAGCGCGGGTGCGGGCCCGGGCCCGCTGCTGCCGGGTGAGGCCTGGGATCCAACTCCCACGAAAACCATCCCGCGACCTGGTCCGACCTGGCAGGAGCCAAGCAGGACTGCCCTCCTAAAATACAAAGATGTTTTAAGGTATATATATATATTTTAATGTATTAAGGTGATTTTTTAAATTGTTTTAAAGGCAGCATAGGCTTTTGAGGGCCCGTAAATTCATCAAGTGCCGTGGATAGTTAAGCCACTTTAAAGGCCTGAAAGTAGCATAAGCGTTTAAGCCACTTTAGATGTTTAAATCTGTATAAGCTGTTAAAACGCCTTTAATCCTTAAGTGCTTAAATCACCTTAAATCCTGGGAGTTAGGTGAGAGAATGAGCTGCCTTGAAAGAAAGAACCTCAGCTCCAGTTCCCCCCAACGCTCAGTTACTTGATGGATGGTGGTGGAAATGAATGGACTGTGGGGAAAACGACTGGACTCCTTGGAACTTTCACGAGGTTCAGTGTAGCGATGTGTTCTAAGGAGTGTGCATGTTCTGTGCCCTCTAAGTTAAAACCATGGTGCTGCTCCCCCTGGTTTTCAAGCCTTGATAAGAATTATGAACTTCTGTACATTTTTTTTGACCAGTCCTGAAGGCCGAGATGTGGAAAGGGGAGAATGTTTTAACACTTGCCTGTCTGCTAAAGAATAGGCAATACACTTGCTTTAACACAGGCAGCAATAAAGAGTATGAATTTGTTAATTTGTGTCATACTTTCCCCTATCTTCTGCTTTGGGATCACTCAGTCCCTTACCTGGGTATGTACTGTGTGTGGAAGCCTCTTTGCTTCTCCCTTCCCCTGACTCTATGAGGTGCTTTGGTGATGTGATGAGCTTTGAGGCAAAAGCTGCTGTCACTGATGACTCTTCCAGCCTGGGCCTCACATTCCTTTGTCACAGACCTGAAGGTGTCATTGTCCTTTTGGGTTGCAGAATCATGGGATAGTCATGGCTGGAGGGAACTGCTAGAGACCATTTAGTTCCCATCAATGCTCCAAGTTCTTGGTTTAGCCAGGTGGCTTGCAGCCTGACACTCCTGAGACTTCTGTGGGATGCCTGCACCCTCACCTGGGAGGCTTAATTCAAGGCTGTGTCTCAAGCCCTCTCACCTTCCAGGAGAAAATGCTGAGCTTTTCTCCTGGGCTCTGAGCTCCTGGGCAGCCCCCAGGTTGGTTTCCCTTGGTGGGAGATGGTGAGACTGGGATGGATGATTTGGCACTTGGAGAGCAGTGATTTGCAAAGGGAGGCACGGATGCATGGAGGGCAGCTGAGCCTTACCTGGCCCAAAGCACCCACCTTCCCCAAATATCTGGGTGATGCTTTACTGAATGCAGCCCTGCTGGCTGGTGAGAGTAGCCAGGCCAAGCAGATTAGGGGAATACTGACCTCAAGGGCTTTCTAAGCAAAAAATTGGAGCTTGAGGACTTGCCCTTAACATTGCAGAGGAACAAAAAAAAAACCTGTGGCTTTTTAGCTCACTCTCTTCAGCTCATAAAAGTGCAGTGATGAGAATGAAACTGGTTTTCTCACCTCGATGAAAGCATGTGAGGAAAATTTCTGCTTACCTTTAAAATGGTCTCCAACATCACACTACAGAATTATTATTAGTATTTGAATCTTGTGGTTGAATTTGACAGGAAAAAAATAGGATTGCATAGATTTTGATGTGAGGCAGCTCAGCAGCAGATCCCTCCTGGTGCTGTTTCAGTGGCTGATAAGGTGGAATTTAACATTTTCCAGATCCAGACTGGGCAGCAATCTTGCTTTCTGTTGCCACAACATTTAAAAGTTCCATTGTCAAGAACTGCACATGCTGTAGATATATCTTCCCCTCTTCCCCCCCCCCCCGTCCCCCCTTCTCTGAAAGGAACCCTTAAAAAATAAGTTCTCCTTTTCTTTGCTTTCCATTTGGAATGCTCACTGAAAATGCAGCGGCGAGCATGCTCGGAAGGTGTTGAGGTTGTGCCCGAGCGGCACAGGGGAAAATCTTCCTGGGGCGGTGGCAGAGGAGCCTCTTGGTGGCGCCTGTGCACACCGTGTGCTGCTTCCCTTTGCCCGGTGATGCGGGCATCGATCTTCCCCCTGGAAACGCCGTGCTCTGTGTTCCTGCTCGCTGCCCTTCTTCTCTAGAAACTCTGCTTGGGGACTGGCACTCCGGGCTGCCTTTAGTCAGGGTTTGCTACCATGGGAGAAAAAGATCAAATTGAGGCTGATTGCTTTCAAATGGAATTGAAACCAAATCACGCGG